TCATGTCCTTTGTTAAAACACTTGATAGCTGTAATAAGAAAAGTCCTACACAAATAAAGTTACTAGTATTATAATTATTATTATCTGCCATTAAGAGAGTGAGGTTTTAAAAATATCTCAAAAGATTTTTTAATTGATAACATAATGTATAATGTATGGTGGTAACAAATTTAATGGAGCTAAATTTTACATCCAAACTTGAATCCCAAATCTCAAACTCTCTCAAATGCCAGTTATACCGACATTTCTTCCCAGGCTTTTGACATTCAGTAGAATCTCCTTCCATTTCAAGTCATCATCTACATACAGTAGTTTATCAGTTAGAAACTAGAATTACCACCTTGCAGCTTTATGTCTCCACCAACTAGTCCAGTTGCAGTTTACATTCGTGTTTGTCCAGACTCATATGTTTGATACAGTCACCACAGTTCCAAGGTGGGCATCCAAGATTAGTGTCAGTTCACTATCCGATCAAATGTGAAATATGGTCACAATCTCTCCTTCTGTTCCTGAGTTACATTTCCTGAGTTTTGTGACGTCACAGAGACCTTAACATTTGACCTTTGACCACAAAATTCTGAACAGTTCCAAGTGAACGAAATTTTCTCAAGGCGTTACCGAACGCATTCACAAGAATACGATGGATGACCTGAAAACGACCCTGGCCAGGCGTCGCCTGCGCAGAAGCATAAAATGGAAATCAATTTTCACAAAACACAGATCATAACTCATGATACAATAAATAAATTTGACATCTTTTACCTTTCTGTTTTACCTGCAGAGGAAGACGTCTGCCTGAAACCATTTAATCAAACTGCGTACAGAACAGCCAAAACCACCATCACGTGTCATGATAACAAGTCCAGAGTCAGGTTTTTCTGCAAAGAGAAAGGTGACATCTGTGAGGAAATTTCATCAACAAGGTCAAATGGGAGGTTCACTCTCACAGCCACCAACAGCAGCTTCAACATGTCCATCAGTAATGTGTCCTCAGAGGATGCTGGTGTCTACTGGTGTGGACTGAAACCAAAAGACGGAAATCAACAAACTGCCCTCAGACGAATACGACTGGAGGTTAAAAGTGAGTAATTAACATCTGCAGCTTCTGAAGTTTGTTCATATATTAAAGCATACTAATATTTTATTTTTTCTAGATGAGAACCACTATTTGAACTGTTTTATTTAAATCTGTGTCTATCTACAGAAATTCCTAACTTCACAAGATCCCCAATGGTTGGAGAAACCCTCACATACTGGTGTGATTATAGCAGTCACACTGCTTATACTTACAAATTCATTTGTAAGGGAGAAGATCCGTCTGTATGTGAACGTCTAGTAAGCACCCAGGCTCACAAGATGAACAACGGGAAGTTTTCCTTGAATGACGACAGATTGAAGAGAAATATCACCATTACAGTGAGAGATGTAACAGCAGACGACGCTGGGACATACTGGTGTGGAGCAAAACGCTCTAACAATGAATCCAGCAATCCATTCTTCCACAGATTCATCATGACTGTAGGTGAGTCATGTTGTTTTATAGTGTGGATGAAATCTGACCCTGGTTCAGATTGTAGGCAGCTAACTGATGGATGGATAAACTCACCTGTGGCAGGTTCAATTCCCTGCAACAACTGAGACGTCTGTTTCAGTGACACTGAGACTGTTCAGTGGAAGTCGCTGCTGCAGGATCATTTTTTAAATTCTCTATTTTTTTTTTTGACAGGTCTTGAATTGTATATCTCATTTTCTATACACTAACTGAGCACTTTATTAGGAACACCACACTAACACTGTGTAGTTCCTCCTTCGCTCAGCCTCAGTTCTTCATGTCATGATGCAACAAGATGTTGGAAACTTCCCTCTGAGACTCTGCTCCATGTTGACGTGATGCATCACGTCATTTCTGTTGATTTGTCAGCTGCACATTGAAGCTGCCAATCTCCTGTTCTACCACACCCCAAAGGTGTTCTGCTGGATTCAGATCTGGAGACTGGGGACAGCGTGGTGCCTGAATGTGCAAAAATGAGTTCAGTTCATTTAACACGTCTTGTGGAATAATAAACACAAACCTAGTCGCAAGCGGAACATGACCCAGCTGCCCCCAGTGGACTCCCCGGGGAACTGGCACTCCTTACGCATTGCACTGCTTCCACATGATTGGCCGATTGGATAATGAATAAGCAGTCGTGCAGGTGTTCCTAATAAATTGCTCAGTGAGATTATTTTTGCCATCTGTAATCTATCATATTTTATTTTGCGTGCCTCCACCTACATCAACGCCCTCCATCCATCAAGATGCTTTATCTTCTACCTCAAGCACTGCATCTGCTGAGAGTCACGGTGACAAAGAGGAAGATGTTCACATAAATGATCTTTATCTATATTTCTGTTGTGTGGTTTTGTCTTGCAGAGGGCTCTTCGTCCCATGGAGTCACTATTGCAGTCACCTGTGTAGCTGTGTTGGTTCTTGTTGTTGTTGTTGTTCTTATCGTCTACAAACGTAAGATTTTTTTGTCAGTCTGCACAACATGAAACACACACATTCACACGAACTTACAAACCTTTGGAAGGTCGCACGTGTCTAACTTTCAGGGTACACAACGGTCAAATCATGAAGTCATATTAACTGAATACAAACAGATGTAACTCCGTCAGTAGTACAGTAGGTCGAGGTAGAGAAGGAGACAGATCTGTGATAAAATCCATCCACATTATTTTCTTCTGTTTGTTAATTTCTTTGTTCTTGTCTTTCTTAAGTTTTCACATTTTTCTCTGCCAGGATTTAAGGCTTCAAAAGAAAGAAACAAAAACACAAGAAATGAAGAAGCAGAGAACAAGAATGAGGTACGTGCACATATTTATCTTTGTAAACGGTGTGTGTGTATTTGCTCTTATATCCCTGTGGTCAGAGTTACAGTATAAAGAGTCTACAGCCATGCTGGCAGGTCTGTGAGGCTACTTTTACCTAAATGCTAGCCAACATGCTCACAAAGTATTCATCCTCTGTTTTTCATTCTAATAGGATTATGGCTATTCAGAGATACAAGATTGCCTCCAGAGGCCAGACTCAGGAACTGCACCAAAAACAGTTTATGTCACTGCCAACGTTCCCACAAACCACTCTGCCTTCACGCCTCACTCCGAAGTTCAAAACAGCTCTGATGAAGTTAGTGGTGACACATATTATAATATGTGGGACAGTGACCAGTGTCCTATCTACTCTACTGTCAATAAAGCATCCACATGTCCAGAGGATCCTCTATATTCCACTGTCGACAACCCACAGCAGCACTGAGGTAAATTGACAGTTGTCAGTTCATTTCTATGGGATCACAGAAAAGAGTCACCTGCTAGATTTTATGGATTGAGGGACGTTGTTTTGTTTTGTCTGTTTGTCTTTTGGTGGGGTTTATTTAAAGCAGCTATTTGTAAGTTTACACAGCTAATGTTAGCATTTGCAGCTGTTTACTTACTAGTCTACAATAAATGTTATGAGTTCAGCATCAAACTTCACTCCTTTACTCACCAACAGCTGTCTGCAGAGGTGGAAAGCAACGCCAGTGTTAACTCTCATTTCTTTTCTTCTACTGAAGTTAGCATGCTAACCAGCTAGCCCTGGCCCGTTCCAGTCCATATCGACACTTTCTGACAGCGACTCACTGTGGCCTCCAAACTGCCCTGAAGACATAGTGCTACTCAGAGGGCGATATAACCTCCTGTATTATAAAGACAACGATGGCTGAAGCTCTTGTCAAGCGACAGTCACCACCATCCACTACCGGCAAGAAACCACGCTCAAAAAACCTTCAAAAAGAAATTAGTGGGGCGACCTGATAGCCGAATGGTTTGGGCGCATGACACATAGGCTCATACACCCTGAGCACAGAGTCCCTGTTTGGACTCTTGGCCCCTACAATAATTTGTATGTCGATGATGTCCAGCTGTACTGCTCTTTTAAACCTGACGAAAGAAACCAATTGTCCATTTCAAATGAATGTTTAGAGGCCACAGAGACTTGGATGACTGACAACTGCCTTCAGCTAAATGCTAATAAAACAGAAGCTCTTATAATTGTTTCGGAAAAATTAACTTTAAATTTCAACCAACATGTGTGGTCATTGAGTGGTTGTGTTCAACATAATCTTAGAAATTTAAGTGTCATTTTCAATAAGTCTCTGTAGGTAGAGATGAGGATGATTATTCATGCTTTCATTACTTGCCTTTAGATAATTGTAAACGCTCTTTTTACCTGTGAGTCAAACTTCTTTCAAAGGTCTCTAAACTCACCAAAGTATCTGTGAATGGTGCTATATGAATCATTTTTTACTTACTTAATTTACTTACTCTCTTTCTGAATTTCCTGTTTGTCTCTACTGGTCCTTTGAAATAAAGGAATAAAATGGCCAAAAAAAACCTAAAAAAGAAATAACAAAATGTGTGACATTATTTACTTTGTTTGATTCAATGTTTAGTCGCAGGACTCACAGCAGCACCAACTGACCGAACGGGGGAAACCATGGCTCATAATGGCTCATGCAGTTCACTGATAATGCTCTGGATCGAGCCATGACATTTTAGAGTTTCTAGCCAGGTCAATTTTTGAAATGTTTCTTGGGGTGGACATTAGACAGAAGTAGAAAGGTAAAGGCTTTAGTAAATTTCTTAGATTAAACTTCTGCATAACCAATAGACTCCAATCAGGAACAACCAGTGCTGCAAATGTAGCATGACTAATTAAATCGTAAACAAAATCACCGTGGTTCTTGTAATTTAGTAGTAGTGTGTAGTCTGCTGATTAGGATGTTATCATGTCGAACTATTCTGGGTTAGAGGAATGATGTACGACCTACAAGAGAAAAAATCAGTGACAGTGAAAGAAATAAACAGGAAGGTGATAAGAAGGCGAAATAAACTCATGAAACACAGCCGCTCACACACTGGAGATCAATCAACACATGCACAGAGGAGCTGTTAAGAGCTTGAGTTAAACTGTCTCACTGAGGATTTCAGCACCAAGACGAACAAAATGAAGAGTTTTCTTCTACTCGTCCTCTCACTGATCGCAGGTAAACAATTTGCTACTGCTTGATTACTGATATTAGAGATGTGATGGATCAACCAGCTCAGGGTTGGGGTTTAGAGCTTTGTACCAGCAGCCACCACTCATACGAATAAGTTGTAGTAACGTTGCGTAGAAGCGATGTTTCATTTATTTATTTACCCTGTGCACATGCTGTTGTCTGTGCTGTGTGTAAGACTGATGACTCTTTTTACTGCAACTTACTTACGGGTAGAAATAAAGTGACCTAACCTAAGAAATGTACCACAGTGCATCCTATGGTGTATCAGTATCGGCTACTGCTCTCTTTGTATTACTTTGCTCTATCATGGGCCGCAGCAGCACAATACTGTATAGTAGCTCACTAACTTTAGCCAACAACCAAGTATAACACTTGGGGTCAAAAACTAAAACTAACAGAGTTAAAAACAGCCCACATTGTTTAATATTCAATTAAATACATATATATCTTCAGCTTCAAGGTTTTATTCTTTCCTTCCAGAAATGCTACACAGGTAGTATTTGTGATTTATGCATCTCTCAGAGCTGATGTTCTGAATCTGAACCAGCGATGCTTTTTATTCCATCTGAGCTGATTTTCTTTGACAATTACATGAAAACATCAGGTGCTAATATTGATCAAGGATACAACAAGAATTCAGACTGGATTCGTGCTCATTGTGCTTCTGAGACAACACGAACAACAGTAAAAACCACACCCTGGAAATATTTCCTGTTGCTGTTGCTCTAAATTAAATACGTGCTTCTCACTGTAGATAACTCTTGATTTTTGTTGTAGTGCCCTGTTTTCAAAGTGTTGGATTTACTCTGTGTAAAAAAACACGGCTTGTGCAACCACTTGATAATACTTCAAACTAACAGAACTGTCTCAAAAAACAGCAAGTGTTTATTTTAGCAGTAGTACTGTAATACAACAAGACTAAAGAAACCATACAGACATTAGAGAAGGGTAGACAGGAGGCTGGTGCTGAGACTAACTGCCCTCTTCTCAAACACACTCTGACCAGTCTCCAAACAACACTGCTTTCCAAGTCTCCCGTAGCCAGACCTCAGATCTCTGCAGCGCTGAGTCTGCACCCACCATCATCCTGCTATAGGGAAAAACTTGCTCTGGTTTATTTGCATTTTTCTTTAAAACAATCACATCCGTCCTGGGCAGCGTTGAGCCCAGGAAGCAGCTATGGTGCACGTGAAGAAATGGTGTCGTATAGGGGATCATGTGGTCACTGTTGGACAGGTGAGTGAGACAGAGACGCACTCCCTCATGAAATGTAAGGAAGATTTACTGAAAACAATTCAACTCTGTAATTCCAGATTTCAATGTATATCAACCTGAGAGACACAAACGCACAAATAATATACTGTAAATATATAATTAATATATACATGTATGTGGATCTTGGTGTTGTTCGTTGGATTTTGAAACTGCATTGTTTTTCTAAAACCTTGATGGCAATAGATCTGATCAGTGATAGATTCATGTTAGAGCTGCTGATGCAGAAAACTGTAACAGCACAAAACCATCCAGCAAATACTTAACCTTAAATATCTTTTATTTACCAATAAATCTTATCTTAGCAGAACTGGTTTTAATGGAATGAAGTGCAAACTGCCATCAAACTAGAATCATTCAAAGCACTTAATTATCTGATGTTGCTATGACTCTTGTAATTGTTTTATTAGTTTGTCTTAGGTGTGTTATTTCTGTTTACTGGTTGTGTTTTTGTCTGATTATGATTGTTTTCTTGTTCTTAGGTCTCTCTTGAAAATGAAATCTCAATCTCAATGAACTACCTGATCAAATAAACATTTAATAAAAAAGAAATTAGTGCAGCAGTATCTAATATGATATGAACTTTTCTCTCTGTTTGATCTACAGGCTGCGACGCCAGATCTGCAGTGAAGGGATGCATCAAAGCATGGACTGAATTCACATGTAACATCTCTAACACAACAGGACACTGTAGAAGAATCATCATTACATCACCAATAGGAATGACAGTAATAAATAAGTGGGAAAGGAATGGCAGAATTAATCTTATCAAAACTCTTCAAATAGAGGATGCTGGGAAACACACCTGTGAATCTTACAATACAACCATTTATGATGCAAAACTGGAATCAAAATATGGTAAGAGACATTGACCTTTAACAATATATCATTTACAGAAATCCAACTAAAATGAAATGTGATGTTTTTGTCTGCTACAGTGTACATAATGTGAAAACATTAGAAATGACACTGAGCCTGACAGCAGCTACACGACTCAACAACAACCCTCGTTCGCTTCTTCTTCCTTCCTCACTTACATGAACTTACATTTTACAGTCATCCATTTTCACGAAGCACGGATCATAACTCATGATACAATAAATAAATTTGACATCTTTTACCTTTCTGTTTTACCTGCAGAGGAAGACGTCTGCCTGAAACCATTTAATCAAACTGCGTACAGAACAGCCAAAACCACCATCACGTGTCATGATAACAAGTCCAGAGTCAGGTTTTTCTACAAAGAGAAAGGTGACATCTGTGAGGAAACAAGGTCAAATGGGAGGTTCACTCTCACAGCCACCAACAGCAGCTTCAACATGTCCATCAGTAATGTGTCCTCAAAGGATGCTGGTGTCTACTGGTGTGGACTGGAATCAAAAGACGGAAATCAACAAACTGCCCTCAGACAAATACGACTGGAGGTTAAAAGTGAGTAATTAACATCTGCAGCTTCTGAAGTTTGTTCATATATTAAAGCATACTAATATTTTATTTTTTCTAGATGAGAACCACTATTTGAACTGTTTTATTTAAATCTGTGTCTATCTACAGAAATTCCTAACTTCACAAGATCCCCAATGGTTGGAGAAACCCTCACATACTGGTGTGATTATAGCAGTCACACTGCTCATACTTACAAATTCATTTGTAAGGGAGAAGATCCGTCTGTATGTGAACGTCTAGTAAGCACCCAGGCTCACAAGATGAACAACGGGAAGTTTTCCTTGAATGACGACAGATTGAAGAGAAATATCACCATTACAGTGAGAGATGTAACAGCAGACGACGCTGGGACATACTGGTGTGGAGCAGAAAGCTTGAAAAAAGAACGCAGCAATCCATTCTTCCACAGATTCATCATGACTGTAGGTGAGTCATGTTATTTTATAGTGTGGATGAAATCTGACTCTGGTTCAGATTGTAGGGGGGCCAACTGATGCAAACAAAGACAGCTACAGTCATTCTTACTGGCTGGTCTTTTCTGTTGTCCTATGAACATACTTTAATGAACAAAGTACTGTGCAAAGGTTTTCGGCCCTGTATGTGTTCAGATTCTTATCCATCACATGGTCTCATCAGTGAGGCATCTGATTGGGTACAAGTTTATTCTGCAGCAGGAAATCATAAGTCATAAAATCAAGTTCTCCGTGATGTCTGGAACAAGCACCTTGAAAAACTGTGCAGGTTTACTGAGGAGAACTGGTACAAAGGGTGGTCACAGCAAATACTGATTTGATTTGGGGTTTTTCTGATTACTGCGCTTTGATTTTAGATTGATAAAACATCCTCACTTTACCTTCAGCGCCAAAAACCTTTGTATGTGCTCTTCGTCTGTTGAGTTTCAGGCAGCGTTCTCCTCCAGAATGACTAGTTCCAGTAGAAGAAACAAACATCTTCGTTGTGTATGTCGATAAAAACAGTTCTCCTTTGTAAAAATACACTGTGAAGTTTAGTAATATGAAGAATGGTACTGCACTATTTTTGGCTCTGAGCAGTTGCCAGGCAACCAGCACAGACATCAGGATGTAAACATCACATTTTACACGGAGGTTTTTGTACAGATTAAACAAGATACAACATGTTAATCAATGACCTTTAGTGGTACTGGTAGGTCACAGGCTAACTCCTACTGTTTAATGTCAAATTGTCTCGTTCTATTTCTTCACATTCACATAAGTTTATGTTTTTTAATACTGATCTGCATTTGTACATATTTTCATTGTTTTAAAAGTTAATTAGATGCTGGAGGCCAGTTTTAAACATTTTAATATTTGTGCTAAAGAGGATAATATTAAGTCCCTTTGCAGGTTACATGGTCTAAGAATTTTTCTCTGTCTTTACTTTTCTCAAAATATTGAATTAAGAAATAGATTTTTTTATTTTTATAGCACAGACGGCTCTGGATCATAATGACATGTGTTGTGTGTTGTATCTTGCAGGCGGGTTTGAAGTAACCGGCAGGTTTGAAGTAATCATTACTGGGACCGTTCTTGTAGCTGTGCTGTTGCTGCTGCTGCTTGTGCTTATTTCGATCCTTATCTACAAACGTAAGAGAGTTGTCAGTTTGCACAACATAAAACACTCACACTCACGCTAACACACGCATATTATGAAACAACATTCACGTACTTCACTACCCATAAAAACAACAGCAGAAATGCTCCGACGTCAGACTACATGTGACTTTTTCAAGTTTATCACTTTTCCTCATTTCAGGCGGAAACACGATGGTAGTTAAATCAAAAAATAAAACTAAAACCAAAGGAAAAATACGAATGAAATTCTGTCACCGGTGCTGGTTATAAATGAGGTGGTCAGAGAGGTCACTATGTGTCAATTGGATGAAAAGTGGTGAAATTAATCCAATTCATGTCCATCTGCTTGTTTATTTCTGCAGTATTTTCACATTCAAAAAAGACAAGACCTGGAGCAGCAGCGAAGCACGTCAGAGAGGTTAGTGTATAAATGTCTTTGTATGTAGGTGTACGTGTTGTTCTGGAAAAACTGAGCACTACTTAAATAACCCATACCAGGAGGATGCCTGACATTTAAGTATTTGTGTTGCAAACACAATAAAGAACTGAAGCGTTATGTTTTCACAGTTACAGATGTGACGAAACAGATGTGGATTTGTTATCAATAATCCACTAAAGCTGGGAAGACACTGTACGTTCAGTCGGCAAGACTAATTTCACAATCGAGCTGAATTTCTGCCGCACCGACTGTGGTTTGACGTGTAGGTTGAGGAGGGTCGCGGTGTCCGGTCAATCACCTGGTCGAGCAGTGATCTGCCTCACAGATGGGTTTCTAGCATTTTAGAAATTCTGGTCGGCTGTCTTCAGTGTGAGCAGTTCTACAGTCTGATTTTTCCTCACAGCGGCTGTGAAAAGATCTGTAATAAACTGTAGAGAGCTTCTTTTAATATTATTCCAGTAGCATTTTACAAGTTGTGGTTAAATTTTCAGTCTTGAGATTGCTGTGATGTAAATCTGAACTGAACTACGATGATGCCATCTTGTTTGAATAAACTTTATTTGGATTGTCAATGGACAAACTCCACATGGTGGCCAATCGATTGTTCTGCACAGTGTGAGCAGAGAAGTCGCAGGCTCTGTCTGTACAGGAAAGCCAATTAAGAAGTGTAGTGTGAGTTAACACACGTCTGTCCAGCTTCACAGGGTCGGATTCAGGTGCACCACCACCTCTGACATCCAAATAGCGAAAGCTTTTCTTCCCTGTTATCTACAACGCCTCTGGTCAGAACGCACAGACAGAGCTGACAAAATAAATCCAGGATACCTAATATACAAAACAGTCTATATAGTATTATACATGAGAAAATAATGATGAGCCCACTGTTGAGTAGCTACAACCAGTTCCAACAGAAAATGTGTCACTATATAATATAGTGTTAAAAGGGATCTTTTACATATGCATATATTTTAAAATTATACAATCCAACTAATGCCACATACATGACAGAAATATATTCAGAATTATATAAATATAAACTGGATATGAACTGTATTTTTCCCCCTTCTCTGAAAGGATTATGTGTATGAGGAGATACAGAAGAGCCTCCCGAAGCCAGACACAGGAAATGCAATGAACTCGATTTATGTCACTGGCAACTTTCCCACAAACCCCTCTGCCTCGCTGCACTACTCTACCATCAACTTTCAGAAAAGCTCTGACAAGGCTGGTGGTGAGGCACTGGTCCCCAAACCCTGCTCCTCTGCCTGCGAATACTCTACTGTCAAGATCATCCAAAGTCCGACCCACTCGACAGTCGATCAACCATCCACATCTACGGAGGACGCTCTCTACTCAACAGTCAACAAGCCAAAGCAGCAACAAGGAAAGATCAGCTCTGTCAGGAATATTTGAAATCTACAACATCTGTGGACAAGATTTCAGATCACTCTTCTTTTTTTTTTTTTAAACAATGAAATCCAGCTCAGACTCAGGAAGCACATCCAGATATTTAGATGTTGGGCCTTCTCAATCCCAGTTAGTGGGAGACACCGGATTTGGAGGATTGGAGTTATTGGTGTTATTTTTATATCAAATCCCTTTTCATTAGTTTCATCATCAGGTCAAAATTTAAACTTGTCCATATAACGACATTCCCTGTACTTTGGATATAGTGCAAATTAGTAAATTCCATCTAAACATTAGCATTTTAGCATTATCATTACGAACATGTTAGCATGCTAGAATTAGCATTTAGCTCAAATCCTAAGTACGAATGTGAAATGCCACACCTATTGCATAGTGCGGTCACAATTTTACACAAACAATTCACAAATGTTTATTTATGCGTTTTCAAAATATAAATTTATAATATATCATCATCAGTTTTTATTTAAATGAGTTAGACATCCCTAAAGCCTGCCTATTGCAGTTTATTCCTTGTGCACTGGTGCCATGTTCGGCTGGTCATTCAGGGCCGACATCAGCCACGAGTGAAGTCGAAGGGACCGTCGCTGCTTAGCTTAGCCTGCGCTGGGGTGTAACTGTAGGTTGGAAACATATCTGAAGCTGCTACTGGTGACTAGGGCTGTTATTATCATCATGTCATGACCAGTTTCAGTTGATTAATTGTCATACAAGCAATTGCAATTAATGTGTCTTTTTCTGTTCATTTTATGCCACTATTATTGTATTAATATGCAACTAAGTGCTAGTGCTAGTGTAACTAGTGTTTAAAAAGGATGTTTATCTTACAGTTGTGTTTAATGTGTTGGTGTCATGTTTATCTGAAATTGCTTCATCACAATCAGTTTGACAAATCTGCATCACAGTGGAAACATTTCTCTCTTCAACACCACAGTCAAAGCCTCATCCTGTCATATCGTTTAACACATTTTGAAACATTATCTGTTATTCTGTGCTGTAGATAAATATTTTCCTTCCTCAATAAAAGACAGAGGTGGTCGTGATGTTTTTAATTTCTTTTTGGGTGTGAAAACTTGCAGATTTTTCATGATAAGTAACCAAGCACTGTAACAGAGAACTATTGCTAGTTCTCATGACGGATCCTTCAGATGAGCAGCAAGCTTGTACCAAACTCCACTGAGATGTTCAGAGTGTTGCTTCCACTTTGTTTTGTGTGAACTGGACTAATACTGACTAAGACTTCATACTGAGGAAGAGGAGTGCACAGTCTTCCAAAATGTTTTGGTTACTAAACTCGGTCTTAAAATCACATTCACCCCATTATTACTGTTTTGTTTGTCTTTCCACTTTTACTGTATGTTTTTTCAACCAGCTGACACGTGATCACGCAGAGAAAAAATAGTGTCATTTGTTTTATGGCATTAAAGCCAAACAGACAGAATAAAGATTAATGAATAATTCTTTTACTGATACTCCTTTACTGACGGCCTTATTACTCTGCTGACTCTTTACATCCGTTTTAAGGCAGCAGATCTCTTCTATCCATGGACTGTCATTGAAGTGATGTCGTGCACTGTCAAGGCACAATTATGCACAAGATCCACTTCAGACTGTTGAAATAACCACAGAATCCTTATGTACACATCAAACGTCTCATCCACAAATTCCTTTCACCATTTGTCTTTTATCCATTTACTAATGTTTATAATCTAATTCTGTCCACAGAGATTAATGTACCTACTGTCTGGAAATCTGCACTAGTGTTACCACTGTATAAAGCCCAATTGCCTGAGCGATAGTCTGACAGATGACATTGGAGATAAGACTTATAATTGTTAGACCCCTGCCTCCTCAAATTAGAGATGCACCGATTGATCGGCTATAGATCAGAAAAGGCTAGTTTTCAGTGTGATCGACTGTGATCAGTGACCAGTCTCAGATATCCAATTGTGCCTGTGAAACTTACATTCATGTGCCAAGCAATGGTGCATGTCACACAAACAATAGCAATTTGTGAAACTTGTCAGGCCAAAGTAAGCCATGTAGGAACAACCACGAAAACATTCACAACAACAAACTTAATCAGACACTTAAAACATGACACTACACTCAGCCTGTTAGTGCTGCAGCACAGCTCCTCTTTACCCCAACTGGGTTCTACAGTGCGAGCTTTCTGCTGCATATCCACATGAAGTCAGAGTTTGCGTATGTGAAAAATGATTTGGGCACACTGACAACTTCTGACTGTGAGGTTGGCTAAATACATGGATTTGCTAAACTCCGACGCTAGTTACTGTTAGCAAACAGTAAATACAGAAAGTTCAGGTAGCAGCCTCTTGTTTTTAGCTGCTTTCACCAGTTAAACTGACAAGCATCAATGTCTGATAAAAACTTATTCAGTATTTAAGTAAAAAATTTGTATCAGCTTGAACACTGTATGGGCATACACTCGCCCAATCCCATGAAAAGAAAATTAATTTATACGACTAACAAGTATTGTCTATGTATCCAAAACCTAATATGTCTTCTTCCTCTGTGCCACTGAGCTCCATCGTTTCCAAAAACAATGAAAACTCGTGGTCCAAAGCCCAAATATATTCAACTGACAATAATGTCAAGACAAAGAAAAGAATGATGAATGAATTTACGAATTCAATGACTGATCCATTATCTAAATAGTCACTGATTCATTTTCAATTGATCAACTAATTGATTCAATAACAAGTTATTGTAACAGTAAATGCTTGTGTAATAGACTTTGGACTGAAACATGCCCTGGTCGAGTCTGCATTTTCTCATACTTGTGTCTTTCTGTGTGGAAGGGTTTCGTTTCCGCTGATGGTACATTTCACTAATGCTTCTTCAAACCACAGTGACCAACATCTTTTTTTTTTTTAAATGCAGCTCTTCCTCATTTGCACGCACACCTGCAACTGCAGTGTCTCCAACATTTGAGTTATTTCCTCTGTCTGGGTTAGACAAGGCCCTTGTGGTTAATGATGTCACGTAAATCTACAAAGTGGGACAACGCCAACTTGACTTTCTTTCTTCTTCTGGCTTCTTCTTGTTTTTGTACTTTCAAGTGCATTAAGTGGGTGAACTACAAATGACAGTCTCTCTGAAGGAATTAATCTACTGAATATGCAAATTTACAGACAGACTTGAATTAACTTGATGATTTATAATGTCTGTAAATTAAACATGAAACATAATAAAACTGAGTTTTTGCTCAGAGCTTTGTGAACAAATGAGATAAAATGTCCACGCTTTTATTGCAACAACTCCATAGGCATTTTAAATTCAACTGATTTATAACTTTTGTTTGCATCTCTGTTCTACTGGCATACTCCTGAAGACTAGTGTTGCTTTCGTCAACGAAAATTATGACTAAATATCTTCGTCGACTAAAACTAGACTAAAATAGTCATGGATGATTCGGACTAAAATAAGACTAAAATGCTCAGACTTTTAGTCGACGAAAACTTGACTAGACTAAAAAGAGTATGAACGTGACTAAAACTAATAAAAACTAAAATGACAGCTTGACACAAAGACTAGACTAAAACTAAAATTAAAACAGGCCACCAAAAACAACACTACTGAAGACATTTTAAGTTCAGTCAGTGAGGTTTAGTTGCTGTTTTAGTTCAATTATGGGACACTTACTGTAAAAAATCCAAATGGTGGGATGGCTCCTTGGCTCCTGCAGTTGCAGCAGCAGTGGTCCTGTTCGCTCCTGCCCACTGAAGCTTCTCTCCCACACAGACTTTGACCATGAAGAAAAAACCTGCATACCATAAAGTGTAACTGCAATTAATAACCATCTCTAGTTTCTGAAAATTAAATTAGAAAATGTTGCACCAATAAACACTTGTGATCCTAATTTTAATTTTTTTTTTCATTATTACTCATTTAAGTAATGATTTTTGTACTACAAGTGTTACCTTTTTTGATCTTACAAGTCAAATATAGATTTCCTGGCAGCAAACCTTTGACATCCAAATAGGAAGAAAATATCATGTCTGGCGCAGAGGCATCAAACCCCCACTGCACTTTGACCGTTAAAAAAGAGATGACGTCAGCAGTAATTAACCGTTAAGCTAACACTAGCATAAAACATATCTTTGACTAAACAACTAAATATTAAATAAGGTACCAAAATAAGAATTTAAAATATCTTTATCATCTAAACAGGAAGAAAATATGATGTCTGGCACAGAGGCATCAAACCACTTTGACCATTACAGAGATGACTTTAACAGTAATATAATAAGTGTTAAGCTAACGCTAGCATAAACGTGGCTATGAATAAACAAGAAAATATTATATACAATATCAAAATATTAAATAAAATACCTTAATCATCTAAAGAGGAAGAAAATATTATGTCTGGCGTAGAGGCATCATCCCCACTGCACTTGATGACTTGATGACATCAACAGTAATTAACCGTTAAGCTAACGCTAGCATAAAACAGGTCTACGACTAGACAACATAATATGAAATAAAATATTAGTTTCACCAAGTAATTATTAAACTTGTCCAGTAAATTCCTCAGATTTAATTTTTTGTTACGATGTCGTTTATCTTACTTATATTTTTATTTCAGTTCTGACAACAGAAACTACGGTTAGCATGAAGCTAACATCTCAGTTAGTCTAGCACAGGAAAAAAACACTCACCAGACAAATTAAGATCGTCCTCCATTCCTTCATTAACCACAGTACCTCCAAACACGACCAACCTGGTCCGTTCAGGTCTAATTTCGACTAATAAAACAACTTTTATTCTTTTAGCTAATTTGCACCCACATAAATTCGGTTACGCTCCTTCTCCGGTTGTTATTCGCTCTTCCTCGACACTGCAGCCGGAACTGATGGAGAATATGTGGTATGTTAATGTAGTCTGCCCCTCTTCTTCACTGATAGGGTGCTTACAGTTCATATCTATTGACTGTGAAAACCACAGGGTGGAGTTCAAGGACAAAACGTCTGGTGGAAGTTTACAGTACGTCAAGCCATGTGGAAACCGAGACGAATTATGAACCTTTTGGCTTTCCATATTTCTCAGCTTCCACACAAAGACTGTATATACAGCTACCACACTAAACACTTTACAGTCTACAGTAGAACATCAATGTTACAAACCCGGAAGTGGAAAGCCCTGCTCTTTGCTGAGACTATGCTTAAAACAATAACCAGTTTATCCGGATCAGTGTGTGACTTTGATATTGCTGAACTCTTGCTTTTTTTTTTTGACATGTGGTATTTTGTACTGCTAACAAGTGCTTCAAAGTCACTGCTCTCATTTCCTTCCACAGTAAAAGACTCAGATGTTTGTGACCATGCTCATGTTGTGACTGGATGGAAATATAAACAAGCAGATTATAGATGATGATTTAAATCTGGTGGCACATTTGTTACAAATCCATCAGATCAGACACAAACCGCACGGCCATGGTCAGAGTGATGCCTCCACTTTATTTCATGTGATCTAAATTAAACCCAGATCTTAGACGGGAATACACAAAATGGAGAGAAAGAAACTGCAAAACTTACCACGTCTATCATAAAATGTATTTTACCAGAGGAAATTCAGACTAAAAAATCCCAATGTTGAGTTGGAA